ATAAGATCATAAGAAAATAGTAGAAACTTCCATGCATGATTTAGTTAGGTGTTTTACCTTTATGAGTCCTTATGGATGATGGATATCTTGATGTAAAATGGTGGTTTTTGTTGGAAATTTTCGTGGGTGAAAGGAAGAGAAGGAATGGGGGGTTTTAGAGAGAAGAAAATAAAGAAAAGAAAGATTTCATCTCTCTAGATACCCAATCTCTCTCGTCATCTCTTTGGGGTTTCTCTCCACCAAAATTCAGAGATGCTTGTGAACTTATGAATAATCGAATGTAAAACTCTCTCCTATTTATTCTACCTCTAACATATGATTTCCTTTAGAGAGAAGGAAAAGAGAAAATTTGGAGTGAAGAATGAGGGTGAATGAGTGGTGTGTGACTTTTGAGGGAGAGATGAAGAGAGTGAGAGAGAGAGAGAGAGAGAGGAGAGAGGTCCGACTTTTTTTAATTGAGAGAGAGGCTCCCTCTTTTAAATTTTATAAAATCTAAATTTTTTTATAAAATTATCAAGTTTTTATAAAATATGCACCTTATCCTAGTTTTTTATTCATAAAACCTTGATTTTTGACTTATAAATTAAGGGTAAATGTTATTGACTTAGTTTTATTTTCCTTAATTATATTTTACTGAATTTAATTATTTTAATTTGATATTATAAAGTCCATACCAAATTTTATGGATTTTTAGGTGTTAAAGTTTATAAATTTGAGTTTTTAGGGTCTTGAGATTTAATAAATCTTTGGATATCGAAATAAATTGAATCTTTGGGACTTCGAATTATTTTTGGGTTTCCTAACTCTTATTTAAGTAAGAAATAATATTTGTAATTTATTTTTATTGGGTTATTGACATTTCAATGTAGTGATTCTGAGATGCAAGCGAAATTGAAGAATCAAGTATACTAGTCCTACTTTCAACTTTGACTTAAGTTCCTATGAGACTCGGACCTAATTTCTCCTACTAGGTCAAGTGCATGATGTGTGTATATGATTCATGAAAAGGTGTTTGAGTCAAATAGTGACCTGAATATGGATAGTCACTACAATTAAGTAGTTGTAGAATTCACATATCAATGTGAAATCTAAGTACACTATCCATTATTTATAATTGTTTCGAAGTTTCTAGTAGGTTATAACTTAGCTTCTAGTTATTAAGTCTAGTATGTGTTGTGCCTATCCGTGCAACTAAGTTCATCCAAATCTAAAACTGTCTCAAATTTTGACGATTATCACATTTAAGAATCTTAACATGCGTAAAGGTATTGTGGTTCTTAGTGGATGGACTAACTGTTTGAGACACTTCTTTTCGGATCTCTCAATGAATATGGAATTTTTCCTTGTCCTAATTTATTTCTTAAGGGCATTTTTGGCTTGGATCTTAGGGTTGACAACATCTTTCTTATTTAACGAAGGTTTCTTCTGAGATTTAGATGATGACTTGGAAGTTTGTCCAGATGATGGATTGTGAAACTTAGGCTTAATTAGCACTAGAGTTGTTTTTGAGATCACTTCAGAATTAGAGATACACCAGTCAGATGAATCATCGCATACAATTTCTTTATTAACGTCATTATTTAACGATGTCCAAATGAAGTTTGATTTATCAGATTCATGTTCAATTGTCTCGTGAATTATTTCCTCAACAACACAATTGTTCGGAGGACCGAAGTTTGAAATTTGAACTCCAGTACAGATGATGTCAGGGAATGAATTTGCAGACTGATTCAGGTCCAGGTTTATCAGAGGTGAAAGAGGCGTGGAATCATGACATTTGTCAACTATAGGTTGGAACTCAGGAATCAGAGATTGGAACTACTCCGAAGTCCCAGGAAGGGGTGCGGAAGAAGTATCCAAATGTTTGTGGTTCAAAACGTCTCCCATAAAAGTTAGATTTTGCAACTCCTTCAAGAGACAAACAACAGGTTTCGGAACTCGCTTCTAAGTCCTGGTGCTTTGGACCATAGGTGACGAAAATGATGAGTCATCCGTTCGTTTGCTTCAAGAATATCAGTTAAATGATGTAAAACATCAATTTTGGCATTAATACATTTGTTATTAGAAACTAAAACATTTCTTTCACTAAAAGTGATTTCACATTAGTCTTTTAAAATAAGAAAGATTTACATAGACGTAGCGGGTAAACGAGCAACAAGCTCTGCCGCAACCCCTTTTTGGATGGCAAAACTAATTCTTTTAAAAACAACATCTATAGATCTTGGAGTCATAACATTACTATGCATGACCCGTTGGACTCTATTGAGTAGCTCCACAGCTTCTGGCGCAAGGAAACCAAAAGTATCAAATGCAAAGGGTATAAATATGTGTTGATTTTAAATGCACGCTTTCATATGTTTTGCCACTTTGCTTGATGCAGCTTTTAAAGCAGCTTGCCCCATAGTGAAAACTCCACTCCCCAAGCCCACAAGAAGGGAAACCCATGTTAGATCCACGGATGCGTGTTTTCCTCCAGCCCATCCAAATACTAAAACATCAGCTGGTCTAAGTGTTAATCTTCCTTCCAATGGGTCAGTCAGAAAGTTAACAGGTGCCTCTTTCTTGGCATATCTTATGATACATTCATCTTGAGACATTACAAGCTCTCTTTCTAGTGATTTTATCTTAAGCTTTCGATCTTCAAAGTGTAATCTAAGGCAAGTCAGTTCACTCTCCAGCTTCTTACTTACTTTTATGGAAGACTCGTAGGCTTTATGGATGATGTTCATGTCTGATTGGATATGGGTTAGATATGGTTCACAAAGAGATAAATCAAAATTATTTTCAGTGATCATAGATCTTACCCGCTGAACGATACTTCTGCCTGGTGGATCATTGGTTGCCATATAGCAAAAGTTCGGCTCAACATCTTCATCATCTCCTTCTGAACCTGATGACCAGTAGCCTTCCTCACATTCGATTGACTGTCTTGCCATAAGATACATATTCCTTCTAGTTCTCACTTCATCCTCATCTCCAGAACACCAGTATCCTCCAACATCTCTTAACATAGTAGTAACAAAAGTTTTCTCACTTGCTGTCAGCACTTGAGCTCTGCAAGCATAGTATCCAGAATCTTTAACCTTTGGTTTCTGAGAGGTTTCAGCCAAACAGTCTTTAGAAAAATGGTTACCAAGACCACACTTATGACAAACTGTCTTGGGTTTGTCTGACTTTAGAATTTCATGGGATTCTGAGGAGTGAATTGATGAGGAGATGTTAGGTCTGTAAGAAGGTGGGTTCTCTGATGGTTTAGGAAATGGTTGAGGATTATTTTGATGAGGGGTGTGGAATCAATTTTGATAAGGTTTATGACTGGGACTCCATGGATGCTTGTACTTCATGTAAAATAGTGCAAACTCCTGTTGGAAGCGAAGTTCAGACTCAGCTGGATCACGATCATGATTTTCTGAATGGTTCGGAACAGGTGGAGTAGGAAATGTTGGTTGAACAGGTGAAACAGGTAGGATAGTTCCAAAGGGATCTGACACAGATGAGTTCAGAATAAGTGGGTTAACACAACTAACCAAGGCAAGAGGACCTCCTGACAGTTCTCTTTACGCTTGTGGAACGTTATATTCCTGACCTTGTAGTTCGTCAAAGAAATCATAAAGCTTCAGCTTCTTCATAGATCCATTACTTTGAAGACATGACTTGATGTTTCCCCAGCCTTTTTTGAGGCCATTAATAAACTTTAGATTGTACTCAAGAGGACTTCTGATTATACAGTGTGCAGTTATGTTGTTCACAACAATGCAATACATATTTGAAGTCGAGGCAACGGATTCACCTGGAGTAGTGGTAAAGGTATCAAAATCGTTGAAAACCGAAGTCAGATGTTTATCTTTCATATTTTCGGAGCCTTCGAACAGGTCCTGAAGAGTGTCCCAAATCTCTTTTTCATATTTACACAACTTAATGTGCTCAAAGAGAGACAGATGAACACTAAACACCATCCTGGAAAATGCAATCTGGTTTGCATGCAGTTATTCGATGTTTGTAGCAGTAAGAGGTGTTGGGTGTTGATCTTCTTGGCCCATGAGAGTTGCAGCAACATCTCTCACCGTTTGTCTGACCGGAACATGAGGACCTTCTTTCACAGACCTCCATATTTCGTCACTTTTTTCCTTGCCAAGTAAAAATCTTTCTGTCCTAACTTTCAAGTGACCATACTCTTCAACAACTAACAATTGGCCACGAGAAGGGCAACCCACGCTATTTTCTATTTGCATCGAATACATTTGTTGAATTTGATTAGGAGCAACCATTGGAGTTAAAGTATCATAGCAGAAGTGGTATATAGAAGAACTTTTATCCTGAACACAAAAATGATTAAGATACCAAGGTAGTCTCAGATCAACTATAATATGTTCTTATGGATTTAAAGGACAAGCATTCAAGCTCTGATACCAATTGTGATAACAAGATTCAATGCGCGGACTAGGTTTGAAAACTCAAACCTTGAATTAACTTTTAAGATCAATGTCTGCTTCTAATAAGTTGGTCCGGTCAAGTTTGGTAAACTAATCGAGACTTGAAGATAATATTCAACAAAGTGTTCGACAAAATATCTACTCCTTAAATAGTAAAGGAGAGACATAATACAAACCATGAGAACATTCTAATGACTAGATAATACTAAGTGTTTGACAATTCTAACACTTAAAAGATTTACTGATTTTGTCCTACGAATTGTTCCATCAACAAAAGACAAAAAGCATTAAATGCTTGTACAGACTCAATCACGTCAAAATACTAAACTCAGAAACTACTTTATTTCGGAACAGGATAACCTTCGGAACATCTTCACATCTTGGACAGAAGTTGACTTCGGATTTGCTTTGGTTCGGATTGCTAGAGATTCACTTTCAATGCATTAACAAGCCTGACACTAAAACACCACATAAAGCCACTACATGCTAAAGAACCTTGAAGCTTTCTTGATTTGACCACTTGTAAAACTACATAAACCCTCGATCAACAACGATAGGTTTGAGACGATGATGTTGTCAGAGAAGGAGAGAGACGAAGTGACGGTTGTCGTGTTCGTCGAGGTATATCTCCAATTATCGTGTTCATTAAGTTACATATCTGGTGATGATGAACTAGATCTAAACTTCGTCATTGTCGAAGCTTGGTCGGCTGAACTAGGCAGCGACACAGGCGAATACAACAAAGAAGATGAAGCGCAGAAGGAAAATAGGTGGCCGACGGGTTAATTGGGGTACCACCTTTTTTTTCTTTCTCCGGCGAAGTCAGCGCCATTTAATGTTGGGTTTCGGTGTCGGATGTGGTTTTGGTGGTCCGATAATGGTGGTGTTTCGGCTGGCGGTGGTAGTTCTCTTTGACAAAATGAAAAGAAAGTTATTGTGCTTTTGTGTGTTACAAAAGGCATATAGGTGGGATAGAGTTACATATTTATTTTCTTTTTTGTTTCATTTTAATCAGAAAATACAAAATTAATAAAAAAAATGAAAAACAAAAATACCAAAAGTAAATCCGTTATTTTAGATATTTTAAAATTTTTTTAAACAAAACTAAAAAAAAAAAAAAAGTTAAAGTCTTGAACCGTTATCTCAGTCCAATATTTTTCGGATCAAAGCGTCAATTTCCATCTAAAACCATTTTTGCACTCTAGTCAAACTAACAAAAAAGGAGATGTGTGGAGTCAACACAATAGGGAAGCCACATGTTAAAACGGATAGACTTCAAGGTTTGGGGATTACGCGGCAGCTCCTCACTTGAAGGGAAGATAAGGGGAGTGAACAAGTGCAAAAGAGTTGAGGATGCCCATTAAAAATTAAAATATATATTATTCGAATTTCTTGAATCCTTCGATGGAGCCTTTCAAGTCGTCTCCGTCTTCGTCATCTTCTGTATCAACTGGAAGATGGACACATGAAGTGTTCCTAAGCTTTAGAGGCGAAGACACGCGCAATAATTTTGTAGATCATCTTTATACGGCTCTGAGTCAAAGAGGAATATCTGTGTTTAAAGATGATAAGGCGCTCGATAAAGGGAAATCGATCTCCCGGGAGCTGCTGAAAGCCATTGAAGAATCAAAGTTTGCAGTGGTTGTTTTCTCTAAAAATTATGCGGACTCGTCATGGTGTTTGGATGAGCTTGTCAAAATCATGGAATGCCGAGATCAGATGAAACAGATGGTTTTACCGGTGTTCTATCACGTAGATCCATCCGATGTGCGTGGACAGAAAAATAACTTCGATACCGCCTTTCAGGAACTCGAGGATAAGTTTAAGGGAGAGATAGAGAAAGTGAAAAACTGGAGGAAAGCTTTAGCTGCAGCTGCAGGTTTGTCTGGCTGGCATATCAAGGAGACAGGGAATGGGTTAGTTTTCCTGGATCTGTTGCTTCAAGTACTTACAGGCACTTATGAACGTAATTTCTATCATTCTACCAAGTTATTTTGTTACCAATGATAAAGATTTTGTGCATAACCATATGTTATCTCATTGTATTATGTGCTAAATTTATGGGTGTGTCTTGGGATTGCTTTTTGAGCTCTAAAAGCAGATAACTAAAAATGCTTATTGGCAGTGGTAAAAAAAGGTTTTTAAAAAATATTTGGATTAGTTTTTATGGTTAAGAGGGTGTTTGGGATTGCTTTTAAAACAACTTTTTAACTTTTTCTAAAAGTCAAAAAATAGCCAAAAAATGTTTGGCCGATAACAAAAAAATTTTAAAATAATTTTTTGTGTCGAAGCAAAAGTTGGTTTTTAAAAAGTTACAAATCGTGTATTTTTGTAACTTTTAGGACTTTTTAACTTAAAAGTTGGTTTTTACCCTAAAAGCAAATACAAACACATTTTAAAAAATTTCTTTTGGAAAAAGTCACATTCAAAAAGTCCTTTTACAAAAAAAAAAACATTTTTAACCTTAAAAAGTAATCCCAAACACCCCCTAAAAAGCCAATAAGTAAAAAGTGTTTGACTTAAAAAATGTTTTTTGAAGTTATTTTGGTTAAAAAGCCAAAAAGTTTCAAAAAGCAAAGTTTTACATGCCTTTTGAAAAGTCTTTTTTTTTTAAGTTAATGGAAAAACTATTTTAAAAAGTGTCTTTGAGTTTGTCAAACATTTTTTTTGACTTATTAGTTTTTTAAAAAGCCAATAAGCCAATAAGCTGTTTTGAAAAGCAATCCCAAACACCCCTATATATCATCCAATTGAATTGCGGTTTCATCTATTTATAGTTCTAATCTTTCTATATTATGGATTTTCGGCTATTTACCATGATAACCTTATAAATTATAATTGTATCCATTTACTATTTGACATTCCCAAACTAGTCTGTTAACTTGCTTAAAACGGGAAAATATGTAGGGGCGAATCTGCCATCCTCAAGGACATTGTTGCAAAGATATCAAAGAGCATACAACCTCGTGATTTGGAGAAACATCTATTTGGTATCGAGTCTCGGATAGATGAATTATATCCATTATTGGATATGGAAGCGACAGAAAAGGTCCACATGGTAGGGATATTGGGAATGGGAGGAATTGGTAAGACAACTCTTGCTCAAGCTTTATTCCGAAGAATTAAGCATAATTTTGAGGGTTGTAGCTTTGTTAGAGATGTTAGAGAAAATAGTTCTAGTAAAAAAGATGTATGTGCCTTACAACAAAAGATTCTAAGAGAAATTTTACATCAAATGGATCCTGTTGGTAATGTGAGTATTGGTTATCCGACTGTGGATCCTGAATACGGAGCCAACATGATACGTGAACGATTCTGCCATAAAAAGGTTCTTCTAGTTCTTGATGACGTGGATAATGATAAGCAGTTGGAGTTCCTAGCCAGAAAACATAAGTGGTTTGGTCCTGGAAGTAGAATCATTATAACCACTAGAGACGAGCATCTTCTATCAGATGTGAATGTCATCTACAGGCCTGATTTTTTAAGTAAGAATGAAGCTGCTGAGCTCTTCTGTTGGCATGCTTTTCAGAAAAGTAGCCCTCCTGAAGGGTATGAGGAGTACTCAGATCGTGCAATATGCTATGCTAGCGGCCTTCCTCTAGCCCTAAAAGTTTTAGGTTCATTCTTCCATCGAAGGCAACTAAGTGTGTGGGAAAGTGCTTTAAATAGACTAGGCAAAGGATCAATTGATAAGATTCATGAGACACTGAAGTTGAGTTTTGATGGACTAGATGCTTCTGAGAAACAAATA